AGCTTCAAGCCAGTCTCCTGCCTCGGCCTCCCGAAAAGCTGAGATTACAGGCATGCACCACCATGCCCAGCTAATTTTTGTATTTTCAGTAGAGACGGGGTTTCTCCATGTTGGTCAAGCTGGTCTCGAACTTCCGACCTGAGGTGATCCACCCATCTCGGCCTCCCAAAATGCTGGGATGACAGGCGTGAGTCACCATGGACAGCCATGAAACTTACTTTTAATACTTCCTGATGGCATTGTTCTAGGAACCCTAATTCCACTCGACAGCATTGAGCATGTAAAATAAACCTGTTTAAAATATGCAGTTCAATGTTTTTTAGTAAATTCAGAGTTGCGCGACCCTCACCGTAATCTAATTTCAGTACCTTGTCATCACCCCACAAATGAAACCCTATACACTTAAGTAGTCACCTCCCATTTTGCCCAGCCCTAGAATGAGGCTAGACTGGGAACTAATCTACTCTCTTTATGGATTTGCCTATGCTGGACATTACATGTAAATGGAATCATACACCTTGCAGCCTTTTTTTTTTTTTGAGACCGAGTTTCGCTGTTGTTACCCAGGCTGGAGTGCAATGGCGCGATCTTGGCTCACCGCAACCTCTGCCTCCTGGGTTCAAGCAATTCTCCTGCCTCAGCCTCCCGAGTAGCTGGGACTACAGGCACACACCACCATACCCAGCTAATTTTTGTAGTTTTAGTAGAGACAGGGTTTCACCTTGTTGACCAGGATGGTCTCGATCTCTTGACCTCGTGATCCACCCGCCTCAGCCTCCCAAAGTGCTGGGATTACAGGCTTGAGCCACCGCGCCCGGCAGCCTTTTATGTCTAACTTCCTTCACTCAGCACGATGTTTTCAAGGTTCATCCTTGGCGTAGTGTGTGTCAGTGCTTCATTCCTTTCTCCCCAGCACTTTATTGAGACATAATTTACCTAAAGGAAATGCACAGGTAAGTGTATATTCTCCTATTTCAGATCTGCTTTGGATTGCAAATTGTTTGAATGTTCATGGACTAAATCCTGGGCGAATACACCAAGTTCCGCCAGCGGGCTTTCTAATGCAGACTATAGCACTGGTTGGGTCTTTGATTTGTCTGAAAAGTTAGGGCAGTCGGAAGCCCAGCTGGGAGAAGAGGGTTTCATGCTGAGTTTAGAAGCACATGATTGGAAGTCAGAAGACAAACTCACCAAAGCTATGAGAGACAGCTGTGAAACCACAGAAGCCATCCGTGGGCTGATGTCTATGTCATTCAAAATAAACTGTTTAATCAAATTCCTATCTCTTTATTTTATGTGTTTATGTATGTATACATTTATTTATTTTTTGAGACAGAGTTTTGCTCTGTTGCCCAGGCTGGAGTGCAGTGGCGCGATCTTGGCTCACTGCAACCTCCCCTTCAGGTTCAAGCGATTCTCGTGCCTCAGCTTCTAAAGTAGCTGGGATTACAGGTGCCCAGCACAACGGCCCACTAATTTTTGTATTTTTAGTAGAAATTGTGTTTCACAGTGTTGGCCAGGCTAGTCTCAAACTCTTGGCCTCAAACAATCCACCCTTGGCCTCCCAAAGTGCTGGGATTACAGGCATAAGCCATTACACCCAGCTTTATTTTATTTCTTTATTGTTATTGATTTTAAATTTTTTTTCTTGAGACAGAGTCTTGCTCTGTCACTCAGGCTAGAGTGCAGTGGCATGATCACGGCTCACTGCAGCCTGGAACTCCTGGGTTCAAGTGATTCTCCAGCCTCAGCTTCCCAAGTAGCTGGGACCACAGATAACACACTGTCACACCCAGCTAATTCTTTTATGTTTTGTAGAGATGGGGTCTCACTTTGTTGCCTAGGCTGGTCTGGAACTCCTGCCATCAAATAATCCTCAGACGTCAGCCTGCCAATGTGCTGGGATTACAGGTGTGAGTCACCAGGCCCCGAGAAATTAACATCTTTTGACCAGGCACAGAGGCTCACGTGTAACCAATCTCCGAACTTTCTGATCTTGCACAACTGAAACTCTATCCCCATTAAACAACTCTTCATTCTTCATCACCATGTTGGCCAGGCTGGTGTCGAACTACTGACCTCAAGTGATCTGCCCACTTCAGTCTTCCAAAGTACTGGAGTGAGCCACGGCGCTGGGCTCCTTTTTTATTTTTTGTAGAGAGGGTTCTCACTGTGTTGCCCAGACTGGTCTTCAACTCCTGGCCACTGCGATGGCCCTTAGATGCATTTTGAGTTAATTTTTTTTGTATATGGTGAATTCCACCGGTTGAAAAGACTGTCCTTGCCTCTTTGAATGGTCTTGGCTCCCTTACTGAAAATCGTTTGCCAATATATGCAATAATTTATTTACGAGGACTCTATTTTAGTTTTCATTATTTGATACGGCTGAATAATACCCTATTGTATGGACATACATACTGTTTTACTTACGGCAGCCCTAATGTTTCATCTCGGTATTTAATCACTGGATGCTGTCACTCTGTGATTTGTGGACTTCTAGGCCCTTGCCCTTCATTTTGATTATTACAACATTGCTGGCAGGGCACAGTGGCTTATTCCTGTAATCCTAGCACTTTGGGAGGCCTAAGCAGGAGGATCCCTTGAGGCCAGGATTTTAAGACCAGCCTGGGCAACAGAACAAGGCCTTGTTTCTTTAAAAAAAAAAAAAAAGCCAGACACAGTGGCAAGCACCATAGTCCCAGCTACTCAGGAAGCTGAGGTGGGAGGATTACTTAAGCCCAGGAGTTCAAGGCTGCAGTGAGTTGTGATCATGCCTCTGCACTCCAACCAGGGTGACAGAGCAAGGCCTCTTATCTCTTAAGATAAAATAGGCCGAACGCGGTGGCTCATGCCTGTAATTCCAGCTTTTGGGAGGCCGAGGCAGGCAGATCACCTGAGGTCAGGAGTTCAAGACCAGCCTGGCCAACATGGTGAAACCCCATCTCTACTGAAAATACAAAAATTAGCTGGGTGTGGTGGCAGGCACCTGTAATCCCAGCTCCTTGGGAGGTTGAGGCAGGAGAATCGCATGAACTCGGGAGGCGGAGGTTGCAATGAGCCAAGATCACACCATTGCAGTCCAGCCTGGGCGACAAGAGTGAAACTCTGTCTCAGAAAGAAAGAAAAAAGAAAGTTCAAGCATGGCAGCTCATGCCTGTAATCCCAGTACTTTGGGAGGCCGAAGTGGGTGGATCACCCAGAGGTTAGGAGTGTGAGACAAGCCTGGGCAACATAGTGAAACGCCGTCTCTACCAAAAGTACAAACAATTAGCCAGGCATGGTGGCGTGCTCCTGTAATCCCAACTACTCAGGGGTTGAGGCAGGAGAATCGTTTGAACATGGAAGGTGGAGGTTGCAGTGAGCTGAGATTGTGCCACTGCACTCCAGCCTGGGGAACAGAGTGAGACTCTGTCTCAAAAGAAAAAATAAAAATAAAATAAAAAACAGCCCTCTGAAAACAGTGTGTTTTGTTAGTTTGCCTTGCTTTTGTTTGTTGGTTTGGTCCATGTGCATTCTCCATTGAGATTCTAGAATCTCAGTGTGGAGAAAATGGGTACACTGATCACAAGGAAAGCTGCCAGTGCATTCCTGGGAAAGACAAGCCCGGTTGCGACTATCACAAACCTCCGATCAAACCTAAAATAATTTGAGATTTGTTGTGCTTTTTTTGAAACATTGTTTCACTCTGTCACTCAGGCTGGAGTGCAGTGGTGCCATCTTGGCTCACTGGAGCCTCAACATCCTGTCCTAGGCTCAAGCAATCCTCCTGCCTCAGCCTCCCAAGTAGCTGCCACTACAGGCATGAACCACCATGTCCGGTTAATTTTGTTTATTTTTCGTAAAGACAAGGTCTCACTATGAGGCCCAGGATAGTAGCAAATTCCTGGGCTCAAGCAATCCTCCCACCTCGGCCTCCTAAATTGCTGAGATTACAGGTATGAGCCACAGCAAATAAGTTTCTAAGCCACACTGTTAATATCCTCAGTAATACGGATTGCGCATATGTGAGGAATGCTTTGTGATTTTCAGACAGTGGTTTCTCTCTTGTTAATTACTCCTCCTTCTCTCACCCAAGTAGCAAGGTGTCTCCAACACCAGCATTTCCTTCCTAGCTCTATGGAAGACAGAATGAAGGATCGAAACCACGTGAGTGAGTGCTTCCTAAGTGCTTGAGGTGTCACACACATGATCTCATAAGCTCATGTTCCTCGCAGCAACCCTGCCAGCTGGGTCCGGCTGTTGCTCCCATTTTACAGAGGAGGAGACTGAGGCTCAGAGAAGTTAAGTATCTTGCCCAAGGTGACAGCGCTGGTTACGTGGAGGAGCCGAGGAACCAGCGAAATGAGCAGGGCAGGAATTCTCCTTTTTTTTTTTTTTTTTGAGACGGAGTTTCGCTCTTGTTACCCAGGCTGGAGTGCAATGGCGCCATCTCGGCTCACCGCAACCTCCGCCTCCTGGGTTCAAGCAATTCTCCTGCCTCAGCCTCCTGAGTAGCTGGGATTACAGGCAAGCGCCACCATGCCCAGCTGATTTTTTGTATTTTTAGTAGAGACGGGGTTTCACCATGTTGACCAGGATGGTCTCGATCTCTCGACCTCGTGATCCACCCGCCTCAGCCTCCCAAAGTGCTGGGATTACAGGCTTGAGCCACCGCGCCCGGCTCTGGGAATTCTCCATTTTATTGAGAGTCACAGCCAAGTCAGATGCCACAGGCCCTGGTGACAATTTGCCTGGGAGTTTTCCATATCCTCAAGTCTCCGGGACTCTGTCGCGCTGCCCACAACAACTACTTTCTGTTAGACCACAGGCTCCAGAAAACACCCTCAAAGAGAGGTCGGATCTTCCATCACATACGATGCAAATTCTACGGCTGGAAAGCACGAGGGTAGAAAGGAAAAAGTTGCGTTCTTTTTACCCGGCTCTCCAATGGCGCGTGGAAACTCCGTCTCCACGGAAACGCGCCCCCCAGCGGCGGTTGCCAGGGGCGGGGCTCAGGGCGTCTCCTCCCCGGGGCTACAACTGTTCCCAGGCTGGGACGATCGCCGTCACCCCTGAACTTCCCCGTTCCTCTTTTCGGCCGCCCTCCCTTTCCGTTGTCCCTTCGCGCCCCAAACCACATCCTGAAGCGCGCTCTCCCGCGCGACCGGCAGCGGGGACTGTGCGCCCGGGGCGAAGGCCTCAGAGTCGCGTGCGCTGCCCCTTGCTCCATCCGCCTCCCCCACCCCCGGCCCACCCCCAGGCGGCGCTGATTGGGCCGGTAGAGACTCTGCCCAGCGGAAAGTTTTGGGTGCCGGGAGGAAGTTCAACCTTCGGGAGACTCCAAGACAGCAGCTCCGGGGGGCGGCGGGGGTCTGGTGGCCATGGAGGAGCCCCCCGTGCGAGAAGAGGAAGAGGAGGAGGGAGACGAGGACGAGGAGAGGGATGAGGCTGGGCCCGAGGGCGCGCTGGGCAAGAGCCCCTTCCAGCTGACCGCCGAGGACGTGTATGACATCTCCTACCTGTTGGGCCGCGAGCTCATGGCCCTGGGCAGCGACCCTCGGGTGACGCAGCTGCAGTTCAAAGTCGTCCGCGTCCTGGAGATGCTGGAGGCGCTGGTGAATGAGGGCAGCCTGGCGGTGGAGGAGCTGAAGATGGAGAGGGACAGCCTCAGGAAGGAGGTGGAGGGACTGCGGAGCCAGGGCCCTTCGGCCAGCGCCAGCGGGGAGGTTAGTGTCGGAGCGAGGGTGTCGGGCCCGCGGCGCCTGCGGGGTTGGGAGGGCGCTCACTGGCAGGAAGGCGCCTTCCTTTATTTTCTTTCTTTCTTTCTTTTCTTTAAGAGATGAGGTCTCCTTGTGTTGCCCAAGCTGGTCTCAAACTCCTGGCTTCAAGTGATCCTCCAGCCTCAGCCTCCTAGAGTGCTGGTTTACAGGTGTGAGCCAGCCTGCCTGGCCACAATCTGTATTTCTAACCAGTTCCCAGTTAATTCTGATGCTGTTGGTCCAGGGTCCACAGTGTGAGAAACTGACCTAGAGCAAGAAACACTTGTTTTTTTCTTTTTTTGACACACGGGCTTGCTGTGTGGCCCAGGCTAGAGTGCAGTGGTGTGAACACGGCTCACTACAGCCTTGGCCTCCTAGGTTCAAGCAGTTCTCCTGCCTCAGCCTTCCAAGCAGCTGGGAGTGCAGACATGTGCCACCATGCCTGGCTAACTTTTTTGATGCTTTGTAGAGATGGGGGTCTCACTTTATTACCCAGGCTGGTCTCAAACTTCTGAGCTCAAGCAATCCTCCTGCCTTGGCCTCCCAAAGTGCTGGGATTGGAGGTGTGAGCCACCACACTTGGACAAGAAACACATTTTACCTGAAGAGTAATTAGTGCATATGACCACAAAAAGACATAGACAAGAAGATTCAGAGCGGCTTGAGTCATAACTAAAACTCAAAAATTAGAAACAATCCAAATGCAACCCAATCAAGTTTTGAAATTGTGACATATGGAATACTATGCAACAGAGAAAAAAGAATAGTGCTGATATATGTAACAGTGTGGATGAATCTCACTGTTACATTGAGAGAAAGAAGCCAGGCATAAAAGAGAAACTTTTTTTTTTTTTTGAGATGAAGTCTTGCTCTGTCATTCAGGCTGAGTGCAGTGGTAAAATCTTGGCTCACTGCATCCTCCACCTCCTGAATTCGAGCTGTTCTCCCGCCTCAGCCTCCCAATGTCCCAGGATTACAGGCATGAGCCACAGCGCCCAGCCTTTTTTCTTGTTTTCTTTTTAGTCAGAATCTTGATCTGTCACTCAGGCTGTAGTGCAGTGGCATGACCTCAGCTCACTGCAACCTCCACCTCCTGGATGCAAGTGATTCTCCAGCCTCAGCCTCCTTAGTAGCTGGGATTACAGACACCTGCCACTATGCCTGGCTAACTTTTTTTTGTGGGTTTTTTTTTGTTTTTTTTTTTAAGTAGAGATGGGGTTTTGCCATGTTGCCCAGGCTGACCTCAAACTCCTGGCCTCAAGTGACCTACTCACTTTAGCCTTCCAAAGTGCTGGGATTACAGGCATGAGCTACCACACCCGACTCTACTGTACATTTAAATAAAATTCAGAAACAGGCAAAATAATTTATAGTAATAAAAGGCAAACTGGTGGTGAGGGTAACAGAAAGGAAACTGATAGAGAGCTAGAAGTGTCCGATATCTTAATCAGGGTATGGATATAGGGATCTACACGTATGTCAAAAATCATCCAGCCAGCTGCCATGGCTCATGCCTGTAATCCCAACACTGGGAGGCCGAAGCGGGTGGATCACAAGGTCAGGAGTGTGAGACCAGCCTGGCCAACATGGTGAAACCCTGTCTCTACTAAAAATACAAAAAAATTAGCAGGGCATGGTGGCGGGCACCTGCAATCCCAGCTACTTGGGAGGCTGAAGCAGGAGGATCACTTGAACCTGGGAGGTGGAGGTTTCAGTGAGCCGGGATAGCACCACTGCACTCCAGCTTGGGAGACAGAGAGAGAGACTTCGTCTCAAAAAAACAAATATTTTCTGGGGGGACAGGGTCTTTCTCTGTCATCCAGGCTGGAGTATAGTGGTGTGATCACAGCTCACTGAAGCCTCAACCTCCTGGGCTCAAGTGAGCCTCTCACCGCATCCTTTCAAGTAGCTAGGATTACAGGCACACACCAACCACCTGGCTAATTTTTGTATTTTTTGTAGAGATGGGGTCTCACCATGTTGCCCAGGCTGGTCTTGAACTCCTGGGCTCAAGTGATCTGCCTACATCGGCCTCACAGGGAAGTATGAAGTTTCCCAGCTAAAGTGCTGGGATTACAGGCATGAGCCACTGTGCCCGGCCTAGTTTTTAAAAATTCTTGTTGAAGGCTGGGCGCGGTGGCTCACGCCTGTAATCCCAGCACTTTGGGAGGCCGAAGCGGGTGGATCACGAGGTCAAGAGATCGAGACCATCCTGGTCAACATGATGAAACCCCGTCTGTACTAAAAATACAAAAAATTAGCTGGGCATGGTGGCGCGTGCCTGTAATCCCAGCTACTCCGGAGGCTGAGGCAGGAGAATTGCCTGAACCCGGGAGGCGGAGGTTGCGGTGAGCCGAGATCGCGCCATTGCACTCCAGCCTGGGTAACAAGAGCTAAACTCCGAAACTCCGTCTCAAAAAAAAAAAAAAAATTCTTGTCGAAACTTTAATTAAATCAATTTTAAGACTCACTAGCAGGTCTCTAGCCACAGTTTTTTTGTTTTTTTTTTTTAAGCTGCTGTAAGTGGACAATTTCATTTTTAATCCTCACACTATATTGTTTTACAAAACTGAGGCACAGAATAGTTAAGTAATTTGCCTAAGGACTTAACGGCAAGTAAGAGGTGAAGTCAGGATCTTAACTCAGAGATGCTAGTCTCTTTATTTTTATTTATTTATTTTTTTCGAGACAGAGTTTCGCTCTTGTTACCCAGGCTGGAGTGCAATGGCGCGATCTCGGCTCACCGCAACCTCCGCCTTCTGGGTTCAGGCAATTCTCCTGCCTCAGCCTCCTGAGTAGCTGGGATTACAGGCACGTGCCACCATGCCCAGCTAATGTTTTGTATTTTTAGTAGAGACGGGGTTTCACCATGTTGACCAGGATGGTCTCGATCTCTTGACCTCGTGATCCACTCGCCTCGGCCTCCCAAAGTGCTGGGATTACAGGCTTGAGCCACCGCGCCCGGCCGAGATGCTAGTCTTAACTATCCCGTCCCTAAATACAGACATTAGACCTTATTTGTTTTACTAACATTTGATGAGTGACTGCGGTGACCGATGCGAGCCTCCGGGGTTATGGAGAGAAGGTAGGCAAGGTCCCTGCCCTCAAGGAGCTCACATCTAGTGCGAGAGGTCAGACGCACACTCCTACAACCAGAGCACAGGTGTACAAACTGGGAGCAGTGGCTCACAACTGTAATCCCAGCACTTTGGGAGGCTGAGGCAGGCAGATCACTTGAGGCTAGGAGTTTGTGACCAGCCTGGGCAACATGGTGAAAGCCTGTCTCTCCTAAAAATACAAAATTAGCTGGACCTGGTGCCACAATGCCTATACTTCTAGCTACTCAGAGGCTGAGGCACGAGAATCACTTGAACTCGGGAGGCATAGGTTTCAGTGAGCGGAAATCGTGCAGCTACACTCCAGCTGGGGCAACAGAGCAAGACTCTGTCCCAAAAACGAACAAACAAAAACCAAGTATATAAACCAAGGCCGAGCACAGTGGCTCATGCCTGTAATCCCAGCACTTTGGGAAGCTGAGGTGGGCAGATTATGAGGTCAAGAGATTGAGACCACCCTGGCCAACATAGTGAAACCCCGTCTCTACTAAAAATACAAAAATTAGCTGAGCATGGTGGCACGTGCCTGTAGTCCCAGCTACTCGGGAGGCTGAGGCAGGAGAATTGCCTGAACCCAGGAGGTGGAGGTTGCAGTGAGCTGAGATTGAGCCAGGGCACTCTAGCCTGGTGATAGAGCGAGACTCCGTCTCAAAAATATATATATACAAACCAAGAAGTAAGCCAGGAAAGATCAGGAACAGAATCACTGAAATTCATGGGGAAGTATGAAGTTTCCCAGTAGCTTCCCTGGTAACTTTATTAGTATTATTATTAGTTGCCTCATACCTTCTCTGTCTGGGCCCTGATAACTTATGTCACCTATTCCTAAGTGATAGTGACAACTGTATTTGTAGATAAGGTTGTACTTTAGTATCTGTCAAGTGACATGGTTAAGTGTGATGACTTGCAGCCTGGCTTTTGAGAGTCAAGGAAAGTTAAATGACTTGCCCAGGATTGCTCAGCCACATTCTGTGTTATTTTTGCCTCCATCTCCAGGCACAAGGATATCGAGGAAGTCCCATTATGGGCTGAGAACAGTGTGGTCTGCAACAGGGGCTGGGTAATTTCCCATGTGGGGCAAAGTGAACAAGTTTCATCAGGCGGCAGATGACATGGCATATTTTCTCCCAAACCGCAGCCTTAAGAACAGGGATAGGGAAAAGGCTTGAATTAAGAAAATGAGTGTTATTAGGCAGGCATGGTGGTGTGTGCCTGTAGTCCCAGCTACTCAGGAGGCTGAGGCAGGAGAATCACTTGAACCCGGGAGGCCAAGGTTGCAGTGAGCTGAGATTGCGCCACTGCACTCCAGCCTGGGCAACACAGCGAGACTCCGTCTCAAAAAAAAAGAAAAAGAAAAAAGAAAATGAATGTTTAGTGCCACTAGACAGTTCACAAAAATATGCCTTTTTTTTCTTTGTATGTTTTAGTCTCGCTTGTCACCCAGGCTGGAGTGCAGTGTTGGGTGTGAACACTGCTCACTGCGGCTTCAACCTCCCTTGGCTCAGGTGATCCTCTCACCTCAGCCTCCCTAGTAATGAGACTATAAGCGTGTGACACTACACCCACCTAATTTTTGTATTTTTTCTAGAGATAATGTTTTGCCATGATGTCCAGGCTGGTCTCAAACTCCTGGGTTCAAACAATTCATCCACTCTAGCCTCCCAAAATGCTGGGATTGCAGGTATGAGCCACCATTCCTGACCTCTTTTTGATTTTTGTTTGTTTTTTGAGAGAGTCTCGCTCTGTTGCCCAGGCTGGAGTATAGTGACATGATCTTGGCTCACCACAACCTCCCCCTCCCAGGTTCAAGTGATTCTCCCGCCTCAGCCTCCCAAGCAGCTGGGACTACAG